GTATGTAAGGATCGTGATACTTGGCGATCTGTTCTCTCTGGCTACCCCGTCAGGGATTGTGCGTGAAGATAAGTATATTAATTTGAACCCAAAAACAGTGTCATTTTTAATGATTATGAAATGTTTTGCTATTGTAGAAAAACAAAATTTGATTAATAACAATTATTTTTTACCTGATGATTCTGATAACTAATAAAAAAACGAAAACTCCTTAAAATTTTAAACTTGTTAAAAGTTTTCTTTAATCTACTTATAATTAATGGAATCAGGCGTTACTTTGCGAGGGTCCATTATATTAAAGTTGGCAAAAAATTACTTCGCGTACATCCGCTCGATAAAATAAAATGATGTGTCTTACCTAGTATGAAGAGCACCTCCCGCCCTCCCTCAATTGCGTGCACTATCACCGTCACCACTTTGATTGTGGAAGGACGAGTTTTACAAGCAAGTAGATGGGAGGACTTTTAGGAGAAAGCCCTGCTTACTGCACCACAAGCGGTACGTAGACGATACTTTCACAATTTTACCATCAGACAAAGTAACTGCATTTTTAGAACATCTCAATTCCATAAACTCTAAAATTCAATTAACTATGGAGTTAGAGGCAAATAATTCTTTAACTTTCCTAGATGTGCTAGTCATTCGAAATCGTAATAACACACTGTGTGTCACACTGTGTATAGAAAAAAGACCCATACAAACCGATATTTAAACGGTGAATCCCACCATCATCCTTCACAGTTAGCTACCGTGGGCAAATCTTTGTTACAGAGAGCACGAGGGATCTGTAACAGCAAACACCTGGCCGTAATCAAGTGTTACGCATGTTTACAGACATTGTGCAAGCATGGTTTGACCACCAGCGGAGTATGGACAATACGGAGCAATTAGACCATACTCCATAAGTACTACATTTAATCAGGCCTGTATTCCACGAAGGGTTAGACAGAGGTGTACTGCACACCCACATTTCGCCAATTATGTTACGAGTCGCATATAACAGGGGGGCGAGCCTATTGCCATTAACCGGGCACAAATTCAGACTCCAAGTTGCTACTGAGAAATTTCTAATGGAAAAACCCAATAACACTGCCCGACCCGGGGATCAAACCCGAGATCTAACCCTTAGATATCAGCTACTATTAAAATTCGTCCGTAAAAAATAGTTTCAGATAATGTTAGAAATAATTTATTTTCAACAACTTTAAAGATTTTTAAATTTAGTACTAATTATATTTATGTTTAGTAATGATAGTATTTTTAGTTTATTTAAAGTTTAATATAGTTTTTTAATGAGTAGATAAGCGAGTGTATGTACCTAGATAGTTATTATTCAAGATGGTCTAATAAAATAAAAGAGTTAAATTATATAATTATAACATTTTGTTTGACGACTATTTTATTTTCATAACACATCCAGTATGGATAGGGTGGGAGCCGTGGGAGGGTGTAGATACTAAGATGATGGCTGAAAGAGTATGAAAAGAAAGTACCACATACGCCGGTGACCTCATTTAAGTTAGGACAAAATCAGGTAAATGACAACACCCAATAAAATATATTTAAAATTTCGTCTCTGTAATTGTGTAGAGATTGATTTATTAATTGATAAATCAATCCCACCAAAAAGATAACAACCAAAAATGCAAGTCTCACAATGGAATCCTACCGCAAAAAGTTGTGAGATTTTCGAATATTGGGTTCGACATCTCAGCGATTTCGAATGTCAAAAGTACCACTTGTCTACACATTGCTAAGATAGCAATTAGCGATCGAAAACGATCGATCACGTGATGTTTCGAAGCTTATGTCAGTTCCATACATTTTGGAGTTATCTAATTTCTTTATCGTTAATGATAATTTAAAATTAAAAATTTTGTACAGCCGACTTCAATATGAGTTATTAAGAATAACTGAAAAACTATTGGTCTGACCTTGATCAAATTCATATGGGACCACACGAGAAGTACCAGCTATCAAATAAAAAAGAATCATCGAAATCGGTTCACCCAGTAAAAAGTTATGAGGTAACACACATAAAAGAATATCAGTCGAATTGAGTACCGTCTCCTTTTTGGAAGTTGGCAGAAAATGTGACTTTGTCTATGGGTTGTTGTTGTCTAAGTGTAAGTCACTATTTTGTCTAAGTTGCCACAAAGTGAGGTGAACTTTGCCATTTTCTAGTTTTGAGTACTTTGTCTATTTAATGTTAGTATTTGTTTAAATCACTACTAAATACCAAATCTATGAAGAATATAATGTTACATTTAACATTGACGCCCAGTCTGATAGTACATTTTTGTTAAAAAATTGGTCTTAAACTTTTAAGTCCTTCCAAAAATGGCAAAGTTGCCATTTTATATCATTTTTGGTATATTTTGTTTTGTTTGTGTTACGCGATGTCTTTGTCAACTATGAACCGATTTGTTGTTTCTTTTTATTACATAGACGATACTGCGATAAGGTGTTACGCGATTAACATAAAACTCATTTTACTATGTACAATTTGGTTACAATAATTCGCATCCATTCCGTTCCGTGGTAATGTAAATTAAGCCTTTGTCCACTCAAAACAGTAAAAAAATATAAAAGCAGACTTCAAATAATGAATTAAATAAACTAAACAAATAATGAAGTAATTTCACATTCTGAAGTTTAATGTTTGGTTTTTACTTTTTATTAACAGTTTTTTTTTTCATAACATGTTTACGTCTTATTTTTTTATAGGATAGGGTGACAAAAGAAACACACAGTCCACCTGATGGTAAGTGCTTGCTGTGACCCATAGACATCCAAATCTATCCCCAATACAGAATCAAAATGCAGATGCGTTGTCACCCATGAGGACTAAGATGGAATGCCTCATTTCCAGTAAAATGGGTCGCTGGTTCTCTATACTCACTATACGAAACACAGCAGTGTTAAGTTGCTATTTTACGCTGATATTCTGTGAGAGCGTGGTCCTTCCCCGGTCGAGCCGAGCCATTCATGCTACAACTATACTATTAATATAGCTGCAGCATGGCTCTACTACGTACAAATAATATACGTAATAATTTATACGTAAAATCTCGAAAAGATAAAACTTAAATAAAACTAAGATGATGTTGAAGAATAAGAAGAGTTGTAAAAAGAGTTCATTTCACTCCAATATGTTTTAGTAGACGCTGCAAAACTTGGAAATAGTTTTCAAATTATTATTCCTCAGAAATGCTAATCTCTTCCCGATATATTACGTCGGAATATTTATTTATGTATGTTCCGCGACAATGCAAGATCGGATGATCTGATCCATGAAACGACATATTATAATCTAATAATTCTTTACCACATCATTAAAGTCTTTTCCACTCTTAAAAAAGGTTAACAGTATATAAGATTAACGACTAGTACTCATATAATCCTGGTACGAATCCCGAGTCGGGTCAACATCAATTATTAGGATTTTCAATTATTAGGCCCGTAGTCAGACAGTTGGCTTTGTTTCACTACCGTGCCTCGAAAAGAACGTAAGAAGGTTTTGTCTCTCCGGTCGAGTTGGATATTCGTCCCATCGTACTATGAGAGTGAGGTACATCTGTGTATTTGCGCACACACTCATTCACTATTCGTATATAATTATAATCCTGTCCTGCACTGATGGCAAGTCTCCGTTGACACTGGCTGTCGTGACAGAAATTCGGTCGGCGGACATTATTATTATTGAACATTAATTAACACGTTATTTTAATGTCTTCATCATCATATTAAAATAAACATGATAGTTTGTACTATCTTCCCTTCACACGTAATTTGAAATTACCGAAGGTTATTTTAGTTCAAAGCAACAAATCATGAATAGCAATCATCGCGAATAATATCCTTGGAGTTTAATTCATGCTGGATAATAAACAAAGGCTAAGGTCCAAAGTCACCTGTAGTGATGTTACTGTATAGCATCGACAATGTTTTAATTGGATCAGCCTAGACGATATATGTATTTTCAAATGTTCTAATAAATGTATTTTTAAATTAGACCTACGACCTTCTATGTTTGACTTTAAAAGATTTAATTAAATTTATTTTGCTAATATTTCACTTATACTTTTAACATTAATAGAATATAAGTGAATACAAATATTTCTATATCCTCCTTATACAGCAAAAAAATATAGTGACCGATTGTTTAGCTTAACTAAATTAAAGCTACTTTTTAAATTTCTTGAACCTCTGTAAAACTACTTAAATGTAGTTATTAAAAGAAATATTCTAAAACACACGGACAAGTTATCGTGAGGGTGAAAACTGGTAGCGATCATTAAATAGTAAGAGGCATATTGAACTTCAATGTTAATTTGGAGAAGTCAAATCTAAAAAAGTCAACGCTCTGTTGACTTCATAGTTTGGAGCTAAGTTCTGTAAGACCTGTCGCAGAAGAACCCAAAAAGTCTTCGATCACACTCTTAATCTCATGGCTTTTTTTTTGCAGATGGAAAATCATCAAATGACGCCTTTCGCTCTGGGTGGAGCGGAAGGGAGTGTCAGACTTTTACTGACTAAAAACCATCCGTGTTCCTTCAGTGCCCTTACGTTCCGGAGCCGCGGTATCTCTTTCGAACAGCCCGCAGCCCCGGTAGGTTAATCTCATGGCTGTTAGACGGGATATGAAACTCCAGTCTTCAGTAGTTATGACAGCATTGTTTTATTATATAGTTTAGTTGTTGTTTTATTATTATATATATATATATAATAAAACAACAACTAAATAAAAAAATGTATCGACTACTTTTTAATATAATCATACAACACTATCTATCAATAACGCTCGAAGCGAGGTATCACGCTAGCATACATTATAAAAACGTATACGCTTGCGACAACACACGCATGTGCTTTAAGCAATAGTTTGCTAAAATTGTTTACAAATATGTTGAGATTTGTGTAACATTGTTTTTGTGAAAAAAACTTAAAACGTGACACTTTTAGTTTTTATTGGATAATACACGCGAAAGAAAGAAAAAATGTCAACACCAGCGATATTAATTCGCCAATTTGTGTAAGCTTTTGTTTATTTTTTTTTATTTTTAATGCCTTTATAAAAATCATTAATTTCTTAATGTTTTACGATACGTTTTATTTTTAACTTAATTTTACATCTTAATTGTAAGTATTGTATTGTATTACGCATAAACTTGATTTTGCATAAAGTAAATTACTAAAAAAAGAATTATTTTTATAAAGCATCCCAATTTTCAATTTAATTCAATCTATTTATTTGAACTGAAATATAAATACACACATACTGAAAGTGACAGCGGTAAAAAAATATATTCAGAATGGCTTTATTAACATAATAAAGTGTTAACTGTTTTATAAGTAAATCCACCACAATTATATTAGCACATAATTTAAAAATTTAAATAAAATTAAATATTTTGTACAGCTGACTTCAATATAAGTTATTAAGAATAACTCAATAACTATTGGTCTTACTTTGATAATTTATATGGGACCACAAGAGAAGTATCAGCTTTCAAATAAAAAAATAATTATCGAAATTAGTTCACCCAGTAAAAAGTTATGAGGTAACACACATAAAAAAACATTCAGTCGAATTGAGTACCGTCTCCTGTTCGGAAGTCGGCAGAAAATAATTATATTTCTTTATAAAAAAAATCAAGTAAAACGTCAATTACTTATTTCCTGTAAATAGAATACGGAACCAAGTTGTTTAATATCTTAGCTACCTACTCGCATACAATTCAATCAATATCAATGTCTAATAACAACAGGACGTTAACACGTTTTTCCGGTTCCGCTTAACAGCTATAACTAAATCTGTACATCTGTTTGCGTCGCCAATGCAAACACTGACGAATACATTATGCTAATTCAACGTACAACAACAACGTATTAACAGGTTTTAAACGTCGTTTGATAATTTAAATTAACAAGGAACAGAATACTAGCGTGGAATAGCAGCATGATATCTGCTCGGTTTCTTATGATGGGCATCTATAACTGGAGAACCTATTTATTACTTAAGAAGTATTCCATCTTAGTCCTCACCTCAGCATCCGCTCTTCTTCAAGTTTATTGTGTGCTCGTTTGTTACTTCTATAATAAAAACAACTAGTTTTACGAAAATTATTTAAAAAAAACACTAACGGATTTTTTCAATTTTGTCATCATTGGTCTCTTTCATTCAGATTCAAATATTTTTTTTATCTAAAATTATCATATAGCCCTACTCGCGCAGTATAGTATCTTGAAGAATGGTAGCGTTTCTTCCTAAGGACCTCACTAAAAATGTTTTAAATTATGGACAAGACCACAGCGTTGCCCCAACAAGTATTGACTGAATTCACTTAACTCTAAAATGTTTTTAATATCGAGAAAAATCATTGTTCTTATCTAACTCTTCTAAGTTCAAATAAATTCCAATAATTTAAATAAAAGGCAGATTGTGTGCAAAGCTTTTCATTTTTAATCACGAATTGTGGCCATGGCCATTTTGTTATTCAACCCACAACAGTTTCGTTAACTCGGACCACTTAGCCAATTATCTAATTCTGACTATACTTCTAGTCGAGGTACATACATATGTACATCACAAACATGCCTGCCTAGTCGTTTCCTTTGTGTAACATAAATTCCACATTTATTAAATAAGTTCCCACAATTCAAATCCTTAACCCTGTATTTTGTAATTACCTGGCGTTTTGTGTACGTGGTAGAGTCATGCTGCAGCTATATTAGTAGTATAGTTGTAGCACGAATGGGTCGCCTCGACCGGGGAAGGACCAAGCTCTCATAAAATACCAGCGTAAAATATAGCAGCTTCACTCTGCTATGTTTCGTATGGTGAGTGTAGGGAACCGGAGACCCTTTTTACTGGAAAAGAGGCATTCCATCTTAGTCACAGGTGACAACGCATCTGCATTTTGATTCGCAAAGGAATAGAGAGTAGAGGGAATAGAGAGTGCATCTGTGCTTGCGCATACACTTGGGCACTATAGTCCTGTCCTGCGCCGATGGCTAGTCTCCGTTGAAATAGGCCGCCGTGACCGAAATTCGGTCTGGAGGACATTATTATTATTATATGTAGTTTGTGGTCACCCTAAGCTTCGTGTACCGAAATAAGGCTGTCACTGTAAGGACCTTCTTTTCCATTGGTTGTCGGTTCTTTGATCAATATGGACAGCAAATTACCACTGTACCTTACTAATTTCGTTACTCTAGTAATACTTCGGATAGCTCCTTTACATATACAGTTAATAAAAAAAATAGCAACATAACCCATTAACTGCTACCAAATAATCTGACCACTATCTTTGGTTTTTCTTTATAAGTAATATCAAAACTAAGTAAATAATTACTTTCGATAGATAAAAATTGTTCTCTAAAAAACATAATAATTAATTATATTGTGTTAAAAATTAGTTTGGGGTTCGGCCTTTATCTGAACTGGTTTACTTCATGGGAATATCTTTTGTCCAAAGTACCGCGCTCGAACAATTTATCAATCAATCACTGGGGGCATCCACGACTTTTTCTGCTACCAGGGCGGCGCCACTAGAAAGGGAGGTATAATATTTGACTGATTTCATAGCGGGGAAGTTAATTTGTTTTTTTTAAATAAACCAAACCACAGATGTTCATAAAAGCAGAAAAATTAGAACAAAGTTAAAAATGTGCGAAAATCAAAGAGCAAACCACAATGCGTCATTGTTTTGTGTATTAACTTCTCAATTAAATTATATTGTGTAATAAAAAAAATTACCTTAATGTCTACTTACTAGCGACATCTGGTGAGCAGAAAATTATTAGCCGTCTTTGAATAAACATAATTATAACTTCTAGCAAAAAAAAATCCGACTTCAAATAGCCAAAAAAGTAGTTATTTATTTGTTACCCGAATTTTTTCCCCAAAATTATATGGAATCGCTCCTGAAGTTTAACCTATTTAATAAAAAAGAATCATCAAAATTGGTTCACAATCTGCGAAGATATCGCGTAACATACATACATAAAACGTGTGGGTGTACTTATGTACGCACGTAGGAAGTTATATTTCTGTAGCGTTACAAAACAAAAAACTTGAGAGACAATTATTTTTATAGGATAAGGATGACAAGCGAGCACACAGTCCACCTGATGGTAAGTGGTTGCTGCGGCCCATAGACATCTACATCTATCCTCTATTACAAATAAAAATGCCGATGCGTTGTCACCCGTGAGGACTAAGATGGAATGCCTCATTTCCAGTAAAAAGGGCCTCCGGCCACCTGCACTTACCAAGCGAAACGCAGAGGTAAACCTCTACTTCACGCTGGTATTCTGCGAGGTCGTGGTACCACTCTAGTTCGAGCCGGCCTATCCGTACGACACCAAAAGCTGCCGCGTGGCGCTACCACTGTTAAACTGTCACTGTTAACAAATTACCCACTGAAGTGGTCGGTTTTACGTGTCAGTGTGTGCGAGAATCGTAACAATTTCATGGTGTCGTTTATAATAGCTGTCGGTGTGCGCGCATCTTAAAAATTCACTCTCATAATTTTTCCCAAACGCCCCAAAAAAAGTATAACTTCAAAACATAAACTCGAATTGCGAACCTTCTCCTTTTCGAAGTCGGTTAAAAAGTGATGAACACAATGTGTAATTGTTTTGTTTTCTTGACCTTGAACTTGTACCGAGCTAGCTTCCAGTTTATTTACTCGTAGTCGAAGCACATTCTGCGACGCAATTTACACATAAATTAACGTCATAACGTCATCTAAATTATCATAAGTTTTGAGTAACAATTACATGACTAAAATATACCTAAAAACTATAATAGGCTAAAATTTGCTTTCACAGCATCAAAACCAAAATTATGCCTATAAAACTCAACTGTCACTTATATTTATTCTAGGTGAACCGATTTAGATTATTCTTGTTTTATTTAAGAGCTGGTATTTCACATGTGGTCCCATACAAATTTGATCTAGGTCAGACCAATAGTTTTTGAGTTATCCTTAATTATTTATGTTAAGTCGGTTGTACAAAATTTTTAATTTTTAATTATTATCGTAGTAAGTCTTGTATGATATCCCCTTTAAAATCATTACTCATGAGTTGCGGTTTGTTATTTTTGTGTCTCACTACCAACAATTTTCTAACATTTACTAAGAAGAAAAGTAGTAAATTACTATTAGCGTCCTTTCAACTTCAAATGGCCTTTCCAAAATATGTAAAAATGCTAAATGAATGGCAATTTTTTCTTATTTATTAGGTTGGAAAGACGCAAATGGTTATATGCGTCTTTTCTTCGAAGTTTTTGTGTTGCTGGGTGTATTTTTTAAGCTAAGATGAAAAGGAAAATTCGTTTTATTTAAATAAATAAACAAATTATCTAAAAAATAAGTTTGTCTTTAAAATCTTCATGTCTCTACCTATCAGTTTTAATTTTTATATTGACACATTTTAATATACTTTAGACACAGCAAGGTCTGAAAGAAAAATTCATCTTTTTATTTTTTATTTCCATTTTACGTTTTTGTTAGTTGGGTCCTTCTTTATTATGACGGCAGTATAGCTGTCGGTGTGCGCGCATCTTAAAAATTCACTCTCATAATTTTTCCCAAACGCCCCAAAAGAAGTATAACTTCAAAACATAAACTCGAATTGAGAACCTTCTCCTTTTCGAAGTCGGTTAAAAAGTGATGAACACAATGTGTAATTGTTTTGTTTTCTTGACCTTGAACTTGTACCGAGCTAGCTTCCAGTTTATTTACTCGTAGTCGAAGCACATTCTGCGACGCAATTTACACATAAATTAACGTCATAACGTCATTAAATATAGTACAAACATATCAAACAATGTTTTGATTTAAAATAAGTATCCAATAAACAAAGCAAATTTTACAAGTATGTTAAAAATACTGTAACAAGTGGAGAAATTAATAATTATATACAACCGACTTCAATACAAAAAGTAATTTATTGTTGATTTTTGACCACCTGGGAAGTGTATCCTTTGAAACAAAAAAAGAATTTTCCAAATGGGTATTTTAGTAATCGGTGAACATACATAAAAAAAGATTCCGACGATTTGAGAACCTCGTCCTTTTTGAGGTCGGTTAAAAGGTAACAAATTAAAGCAATAATAATGATTTATAGATGCACGCAAAACTGAATCAAACGGCGAAAAATAGTACTTACTCGTAATATAATTTTTTTTTATTTCAATCTGAATGATTTTATGATATTTTGATGTGTGGTAGAGGCGTCCATCACCTTATTTGATCCAATGGGTAGTCTATAATATAATTTAGGGACAAACACAGCATTGTGAATTGCCATACATAGCTTTTTGACACATTCTGACTTCCCACAATAGAGTGAAGAGCCCGATTTAATCTAGTGTCCTGCTTTCTACCATCTACCTAGTGTACCATCCCTTCTAAACACACATCCGAATTACACAATCTCACACACTTGCTCAAACTACTCCCCTTATATTCTTATTTCACAAACGTTTTACTTTGTTCTCTTTCAAAAACCATCACTTTCGTCTTACTTGCATTGACTTTCATTTCCATAGTGCAGTCATACAAATAAACCAAAACCGGAAGTGAGACTTACAATTTGAATTTCGGAATTACGAGTAAGGGTTTCGTATATAGAGGTAAAATAGGAACGTGAGAAGAAAACTGAAGGCATCGTCTGTATTATGAAATAAAAATTATTTCAAGTATCACTTTAAGGTTGTGTAATTTTAGTGTCGGGGAACACTAAATCTACGTATCGTGAATTCGGACCAGTTTTTAATGTAAATGAATAACGGCAAATTACGAACGTATGTTAACAACAAATTACAATTTTAGGAGAAACTAGTATTTGGTAAGCCCAACCGGATTGACTAGATTTCCGCGACTTTATGGTGGCCTGAGGGCCATGCCAGCTCCACCTCTACGCTGATATTTACTTACTTAGGTATTAAGTGATTTCGTATATTTCATAATTTCATTTACTAATTCTTCGGTACAACGTTAATTTGTATCCCATCCCAAAACCGCGGACATCTAGTTGATCCTGTGAAACTCAGAATAAATGATTTATCTTAGGAAAAGCTAGTTTGTCCTAGAATCGGACTTGGCCAGCAACTTAGACATTAATAATATGATATACACAATATCTGTGAGTTGCTTTTAACGTTACAGCCTATCAGAAGTTCACTGCTGGACATAGGTCCCCCCCAGAGATTGTCTCATAGAGGGGATATTTGCCATAATTGCCGCTCTTGACAGGTGACTTGGCAACCGCAGTTTTTATTTTTTACTTTAAGTTGTTATTGAGGATATATATATATATATATATATATATATATATATATATATATATATATATATATCTATTTCAACCAGGTACCATGATAATGTAATTTTTTACGTGGTAGAGCCATACAACTATATTAGTAGTATATTTGTAGCACGAATGGGTCGGCTCGACCGGGGAAGGACCACGCTCTCACAGAAAATCAGCGTAAAATAGCAGCTTAACGCTGCTGTGTTTCGTTTGGTGAGTGTAGAGAACCGGAGACCCTTTTTACTGGCAAAGAGGCATTCCATCTTAGTCCTCACGGGCGACAACGCATCTGCATCTTGAGTCTTTATTGAGGATGGATGTAGATGTCTATGGGTCACGGTAACCACTTACCATCAGGTGGACTGTGTGTTCGTTTGTCACCCTATCCTATAAAAAAAAACTCTGTTTATATTTTGAAATAATCCAAATATGTCGGTAATTTATGCAGTGATATTTACGAAAGCAAAAGGCTTCGTAGTTTATTCAACCACTTTACATGCATAAGTAAGTAGCAGCGGTGTGGATGGACCAAATAAAGGCTATAATCAATAACCTGAGCATTAAGTAAACATTGTACGATGTTTGTTGGTAATAGCATTTCTTTTGTGTCTGGTTTGTCTTATTTCTACCATCAAACTGCAGTAAATGCAAAGTTGTGTGCCGGTTTGAATTTGTAGGGTATGGTGAGTCAATATAATAAAACGCTGTATATATTTCTATCTTAGTTCTCGAACGTGACGATGTACAAACATGTATGTACACATTCATATTGTATTCCCAAAAGAATACAAAGGGCGCACATGACAGGTATTTTAGTCCGTTCTTTGTATCATTGTTTGAAGTTGCTTACATGTGTTAGACAGCAGCAATATTTTTAGATATTTAACCCCACAACAAAAAAGCGATTAGGATTTTTACTAAAACAACGAATTTTCAAATTTAGTTTTCCTTTTATAATTCAAACATAATTATATGAGTACATTTTTTGTAACAAACCTTTCAAAACAATAATGGTGCCAAATAAGGCTGCGCCTAGGCTTTCATTCGTTAGTTTACGGTGTACTGGACGGTGAAGAAAAATATTGTGAGGAAACCTATGCATGAGGAAGGTAAATATTTCGTAAAGTTCACCTTGCATTGGAACAACGTGACGGACTATTACTCCATAGCCCTCTCTCAGAAATAAGACACCTGTGCTCAGCCAGAAACTTATACAAGGTTTGGAGAGAAGGTTCAGAATAAGTAATATAGGCAAATAATCAAGAAATATTATTTTAAAAAAATCTCAAACATTCTGTCCTTTTTATCTTTTAAATACAAAATGCGCCGTAATGCATTATTTTAACTGATTTTACTGCCCACGCACACATTCGTAAGGGTCGATCGCTAGGCAAAAACGTTGTTGCCCATAAATCACATTCAATTTAGAATAATGTCAAATAAGAGTAGAAGACTTACTTACTCGTATTTTCAAATACTGCAAAAACGGTATATTTATTTATATATTTGTACTTAAGTTTAAAATTTGGCTACTCTTTGAAAAATAACTCTGTACGAGTATACCTCAGTGACTCGACGGTGATGTAAAATATCGTGTGGAGACCTGCAGCACTGAAGAATCACAATGTTTTCAATGTTTCGAAGGCATACAGTAGCGCAACGGACTTATTGCTTCATAACCCTCTCAAAAATTAGAGAAGTTAATATGCGTATTGTGTGTGTTACGGTGTTAATATGAGAAATCTTATAGTTATAGTTAATATAAAAAAGTGATTACTGAGCCTCCATAGGGATTCTCAGAATCCGGATTTGAGTGCTGTACTTTAACATTATTTTCAAAAACTGCAATAACGGTATACCATTATTTGAACTTAAGATTAAAATTTGGCTACTCCTTGAAAAATAAGCCTGTGTAGGCTTTACATTTCTTTATCTTTATTGAACTGTGTGATTTGTAATCTACTCGTTTGTCACCTAAATATTTATAAAGATATATATGACTAAATTAATAATAATAATTTCATTATTGAAATTACTTCAGTGGAGTTATATTTTTGTTACAATTGTACACAGCACACACATGTAGACTGGTATTTAGAAATAGGTAGAATTCTGAACCGTGTAATGGCGATGTAAGAATCCACTGCCTCTTATCGTCCTGTGCGTGTCGTAAGAGGCAACAGGGAGAAACTGCAATAGGAAATGGGCAGCAGCATAACCATGATAACCCCCCAAAATAATAAAAACTGCGGTTGCCAACCTGTCTGCCAAGCGTGTTAACTATGGCAAAATCTCCCCGTATGAGGCGATCTATGGGGAATGCCTATGTTCAGTAGTGGACATTTATAGGCTGAAATAGATTAATTGATAGATATAGAGATAGATCGAACTCTGACTCCCTAAATATGTTATTAAGAGTAGTCTGTATTTAGGAGATACACTCCATATGATGTGAAGTCGACCCAAGCACACGTGCAGCGTGACGCTCTAGTTATTCCATACACTTTTCAGAAATGAAAGGAGGACTGTGCCCAGCAGTGAGATGTAAAGACTGCAACTAATACAGCTTAAAATAGCAGCTTAATACTGCTATGTTTCGTATGGCGAGTGTAGAGAACCGAAAACCCTTTTTACTCGAAACGAGGCATTCTATTTTAGTTCTCTGAGGTGACAACGCATCTGCATTTTGATTACTGAACGAGGACAAATGTCTATGGGCCTCAGCATCCAATTACCATCGGACGGACTGCGTGCTCGTTTGTCACCCTTATCCTATAAAAAAACCGCCCAAGTGCGTGTCGGACTCGCGCACCGAGGGTTCCGAATAAATCCGTAGGTATATAAGTTTAAAATTATTAAAAATATTTTTATTATATGATGTAACTAAAAATTTATGCTTTTCGCACTTTTTCCTTTATCCGTGCTATAATACGTTGCTTCGTACCAAATTTTAATATTCTGAGTTCACGGGAAGTACCCTGTAGGTTTTGATTCCCTTGGGAATGTCGAAAATTTGCGGCATAAACGGCTGTATCTTTTGATTGCGTTGGCTTAGAAGTTTGATTTTTTCACAGCTCCAAGGGACAGTAGACTTGAGTATTTGATATAAATTTTAGTTTGATATCTCTACGCGTTCCTGAGAAAAAGGGTCTTGACAGACAGACAGACGGACAAAAAAGTGATCCTATAAGGGTTCCGTTTTTTCCTTTTGAGGTACGGAACCCTAAAAATACCAACTACTACTACGACTTTGAAAATATCATCACATACAAACACCCGCAGTATTTTAAATGATTAATCAAATATTTTAAATAATCAATCAAATCTTTCCTTCAGGATTCCTCGTCAGTCCCAACGACGTATTTCGAACACATCGAATAGAGGAACGTCGACGTCACCACAACGACGTTCTGGAGTGGCGCCTGCACTCAACACCAGGCCCAAAAAATTTACAGACATTCCTGGACCCTTGGCTCTTCCTATGTTGCGGCACTCCGCGCACGTACTGCCGAGAATAGGTAAGCCTATACAATTATTACGAAATATATTTAATACTAGCGATCCGTCCCGGCTTCGCACGGGTGGTTTTTAACAGCGCCACCTACCATGTCTAATTGTGAATCTAAATCATCCAAGGACACACTCAAATACACACAAAAAATTTCGTCAAAATCGGTCCAGCCGTTTGCAGGAGTTCAGCGACAAACACATGTACAGAAGAATTATACTCGTTCATATAGAGATAATTGAAAAAAGGGATACTAGGTGTAGTTTCTAAATATTTTCTAGGTGATAGACATGGGCCTTTCCTAGTGAGAATTCGCCATTACCGACATCTATTTGTATAAAAAAATTATTCATTTTTTAAACTCAATCTCGAGCGCAATGAAAATTAAGCTTGCAACTTCTGTTCGCATTTTCTAACCAACAAATATTACACAAATATGACGTAAGACTACCATACGCACTAACAGCGATATCCTCTAGAATTCAAAATCATGAAAGGAATTGCTTGGTTCAATTATTTTTACAGAACAAACTTATTTTTGGCACAAAAACTTAAGTTCGTCGGAAGTATTTTAAACACGTGTTAAACTAATTTGGCGATAATTTATCAAAGACCTATGACACAGAGTAATATCAGCTATTACTGCCCTACACGTGGAACTACGGCATAGATAAGAAACATAATTGCTTAAAGGTACCTCCAGCCGTCTTGACTGCAATTTATGACGCTAATCCAATAAAGACTTATTGCTTAATACGAGTTAATTTATGTATTTAATTGTTCTGTAAATCTTATATTTTCTATCCGAAGTGCTATTCGTACTATATACGGCACTTAGTTATTTTCTTACCAAGTGTTTCGTGTCCAAGGACTCTCACAGAATAATAGGTGAAACAGCAGCTTAATGCTGCTATGTTACGTATGGTGAGGGTAGGAAACCGGAGACCTTATTTCTGGATGCCCCATCCCAGCTTAGTCCTCAAGGGTAACAACGCATCTGCATGCTACTGTAGACGTCAATGGTTCACAGTATCGGCTTACCATCAGGTAGACTGTGTTCTCATTTCTCAGCTTTAAAGGCTAAAATGAAAAAAAAAACAATCTATACAAAACAGTTGGCACTGTAGTCTAGTTATTAATAAATGTAACATTTACATTAAAAATTCACTAAAAAGTCATCGCGCTACCTACCGGAAAGGGCAAAACAACGTCGCCGGGCAAGCTTACATTAAATCAAGCTATAATTGTTCATAAGCACTAGTACATAATTTGGTACACATTTATAAATCTAGAATTCGTAAATCTTGTGTAAACCGTATTTTCCTACATTTATAATGTTAAAATTCCCTTCGATGCACATTTCGCTTCACATCGAATTTAAAATTTTATTGTGTTCGCCATTTTAAATTACCTATTTTGCATTATAGACATCCAACGAGAATCCTTGTATTATTTTTAAATCTTCGTAAAAGTTTATAATAACGAATGATATTATACGATTTATTTATTATAAAAACCAATTTAGAAATTTAATTCAATTTTATAAATAAATAAAAGATACTGGGCTATGTTTATCGAGACATCCATCTACAGAGACTAGTAGGAATTTTTATGTCCTCAGTCCCACTAAACTCTTTTTTAGATAATGTAGAGGCGGCTAAGGGAAATCCTGAGAACCTGTCATAGTCAGGGCAGCAATATTATGAAACTGAATATGCTAGATCTTAGAATACTTTATTATTCTTTACGTGGTAGAGCCATGCTGCAGCTATATTAATAGTATAGCTGTAGCACGAATGGGTCGGCTCGACCGGGGAAGGACCACGCTCTCACAGAAATACCAGCGTAAAATAGCAGCTTAATGCTGCTGTGTTTCGTATGGTGAGTGTAGAGAACCGGAGACCCTTTTTACTGGAAAGGAGACATTCCATCTTAGTTCTCACGGGTGACAACGCATCTGCATTTTGATTCGCAAACGAAGATAGATGCAGATATCTATGGGCCACAGCAACCACTTACCATCAGGTGGACTGTGTGCTCGTTTGTCACCTTAATACTATAAAAAAATAAGATTAAGAAATTTTAACAAATTTCTTCTTCATCAGCTCGAAAAATTCCACTGCAATACATAGTTTTCTCGTTTGTTGGTAGAATTACCTAGGCAGGAGGGTTGACGAGCGTTGCTATCTGTGGCCCGGTCTGGTTAATCTACGTCTGGCGTAAACGAGATGGTCAAACCACCATCTATCGAAAGCCATTAGAGATTATTATGGCATTTTACGTAGTCATCCTTACGACCCCTACGTGATGGGGGGAAATGCAAACTACTTCCTTAAAATATATAAAAGAATTTAAAAAAGGGGAGTTAAAATCGATAACAGAATTTCTTGTAATACACCAATTCACACGGTACGACTTGCAAAGTTGGCTAAAGAGTGGTTTTGAAGGAATAACTTATCATCTCTACTGTCTAGACTTAACTCGCGGCAGCTACTTCTAGAAGTAATTTAACAAGGACTTGTGTTGTGAAAATATGAGCACTGCAGTCAGTTAATGGTAGGAAACGGTAGACGAGGATTGTGAGAGAAAAAACCTGATATATTTTATGTGGCTCCCAAGCCTTTTTAAATGTGTTTAAAATGTTATGAGCTTCAAGAACAATCTAATCTATGGTTGGTGCGGTACTGGCCCGCTATGGTTAGCTATTCTCAGATAAGTTCCAAAATTTTTATACGTAGGTTTTATCATAGAACAGTTATCATGCTTCAGATACCAATGGATCTTTTTATAACTTCTGTTATAAAACACATCAAATTTTATAATCATTAAAATATGACAATAACTTAAAATTAAAAATTTTGTACAGCTGACTTCAATATAAGTTATTAAGAATAACTCAAATAACTCAAAAACTATTGGTCTGACCTTGATCAAATTCATATGGGGCCACACGAGAAGTATCAGCTTTCATATAAAAAAGAATCATCGAAATCGATCCACCCAGTAAAAAATTATGAGGTAACACACATTAAAAAAAAACATACGCGTCTAATTGAGTACCGTCTCCTTATTGGAAGTCGGCAGAAAAAGGGGTGTGTGCGGTGGTTCGCCGTTATCTTCTCCGATCAGAAGAACCTCATTAACGCTCATTAACAGTAATAAACTTTTAAATAACGGTTGATAAACGAAATATTATAAATACTTACATCGCAAAATAAAGATATTTCATTAAATAAATTTGATACAACAACTTTAAAATGAGTGACGCTTTACTCCAATGCAAAACAATCCAAAACAAAATAAATTGAAAAAATATGACGCCAACTAGGATTGCACGATATTTATATTTGTATCAACAGTTTGGATCGATCTAGATCGCAAATTTAACATACGATAGTACGAGGATCGTATCGAATAATTTTAATTCGATCCTATAAATATTAAATATTACGAGTATCGTATCGCGATAGACTTTAATCCTTCAACATCGGAAAAACACCCAAGGGCCCTATAGCAATAAAACTTCAATGTATATAATAAAGAATGATGAAAAATTTTTATAGTTTTACCACATGAGTAGTTTATTTACTCATTTTTTCTTTTTTATAGGATGAGGGTGACAAACGAGCACACAGTCCACCTGATGGTAAGTGGTTGCTGCGGCCCATAGACATCTACATCTATCCTCTATTACAAATCAAAATGGAAATGCGTTGTCACCCGTGAGGACTAAGTTGAAATGCCTCATTTCCAGTAAAAAGGGCCTCCGGCCACCTGCACTCACCAAGCGAAACGCAGAGGTAAACCTCTACTTCACGCTGGTATTCTGTGAGGTCGTGGTACCACCCCGGTTCAAGCCGGCCCATCCGTGTGTCAGCAAAAGCTGCCGCGTGGCTCTACCACTGTTACTCATGTGGTATTACTGCTACGTATAGTTGAAGAATTAAGTTAAATATTCATTTTAACCTAATATGTAAGCACAATGAAATATAAACAAAGTTAAAGATTCCATTCTGTATGTAAACTAACTATAGATATAAACTCTCTGAAAATAATTGCCTCCTAAAATGCCATGAATCAAGCGGTTCCTATATCTCAATTAAGGTGTGACCCGCTGAAAAAATAGCGCTCAGATATAATTGAGATCGCTACCACTATAAGGTAACGAAGGGCTATATAACTCAAATGTTTGCAATTAAATGCATCGTCATCCAATAAGCCTTTCCTCCATCTGTAGATCCAATAGCAGTTCTGACAAGTATTGTTTTAGACATGTATTGTAATTTAAAGTACTATATAAACTGCTGCTTGCGAATTTACACTTACACACTTCCAGTCTACCTGATGGTAAGTAGCTACTGCATTCCATGGATATCTGCAGTCAACTTAAAACAAAGATAAGGCTACCGATTGTTATAATATTTGAGGACTAAGATGGAATACTTCACAGCCTGTAATATACAATATACTGGCCCTCTATTCCATTTAGACCGCAACTCAGCATTGCAAGTACTGGTATTTGGCAGCAGAAATAGGCAAAAGAGTGGTACCTACCTAGATGGATTTCTGTGCAGATATGTAGTCCTAGTACCTAGAAAAACAAAAATTTGTTCTTAAAATTGATAATAGTTTTTAAAGCATCAATCACGCCAATCTCACATATTCTGCACTGGAGAACTCAATTCCAGCATACTTGTAGTATAGCCCCCACGACAATATAATATATTAATGTTAAGGTAGAATAAGGATCAGTATAATAAAAGTTATAGAAGCATCAACACGCCTCTTTTTATTGACATATTTCCTACTTCACAATACATTACATTACTTTGTTAAGTAATATAGTTTGAACATTGTGTGCCCTAAGAATCGGTACGATTGTTAGAAGTCAAAACTTCAATATCTCCCCGATGAATAAAACAAATTTTACGAGTTTACTTATCGCGTTGATCCACATTATTGGATCACAAAAATAAATTAAATCTGAGATCCCTAGAGTCCAATTCTACTGTTTTTAAAGAAATGTCTATCTATCTCTCCGTTCATAATATGTTTTACCCAAAGCAATTTTACTCTTCCCTTAATTTTACGATGATTTAAGTATTCCTTAAATCTGATTCTGTAGCCTTTTGAAATAAAAATCAAACAATAATTACGTCAAGAAATGGAAAGTTAATTGGAGTTGAGGAAATGTCAAATGTATACCATTATTAATAAATAATGGTTATTAATATTTAACGTATCCATACCATTATTTTATTGTCGTAAATATTCAGTGAACCTAAAGAGCAGATAGATGCAGTCCTAGCTCCAAAAAATTATCTAATGCAAATTGAGCTGAGGTAGTCGTGGCTAATTGCGTTCGAATAGCGTCCCTATCATAATACTGATTAATTGTAATTTGTATTGCACCTTATTACATAAAACGTCGAGTGACGAGCACAATAGCGTCATATATTAACGTTTTCAGCGACTTATATGATGTTAAAGTTAGTTAAAGTTAAAGTTACAGCCTATATACGTCCACTACTGGGCACTTCACTTCACTAGGAGTGTTGGCTAACTTCACATGTCTTAGAAATATTTTTTTCTTATTTCTCAGACATGCAGGTTTCCTCACGATGTTTTCGTTCACCACCGAGCACGTGGTAAATCAGCAATTAAAATTGCAATTAACAATTTCATTGGTACTGGCGGGGATCGAGCCCGGGCTGCTCGCGTAGGTACTGTGAAATTAAGAGCGAGAGCTAACCATCTGAGCTACCACGGCTTCTCTCATTATATCATCTATGAGAATTGAACCAAAAACTATCTGGAAATAAGAACAACGCCGCGTCCCGAGTCGTAATAAAATATAAGAAACTGTTAGCTAATCAGCGATGCTGTCTCAATTTGGGAGTTTATTTGGAATTATTGTGCCATGTTGCGCGCTTAGTTTCCTTGAAGTAAGTAATATTTCCGTGTTTTATTTGCACTCACTGTATATTGTCATTTTTCGGTCTCGTTACAGACGATTTTGGGAAATGACTTTCACGCCAGACATAGATATGTCCGGTAGTATCCGGTAGACATAGATATATAGACCGGCGACGTACAGCTGTTTCATAGGTGCGAGACGTTGGGTACAACCATCGTCAATCCACTTTCCAAGCATGACTAATAAGTTAAATTTATCCATTTTGTTCGGCTTAAGTTGATAAAAAGCAGGCTCTCTACCCCCATACCAACCTAAACGCATAACAAATAGCGGTCCACTAATTATTTTTGCTGATAGATAATAAAAAAGACTCTTACCGAAAAGCTGCGGGCTTTGTACCACAAAAATTTGTGCTTACGGCGGTAAGCGACGCCCGTCACACAGATTACGATACTTAGTGACAGTCGCTAATTGCCTCTACAGTCTACTGTCGCCTAACAGACTTTATAACGAAATATGCCCATGTCCAGTAGTAAACTTTTATGAAGAAAAAGACAATACAATTAATCATTCGACCAGAAATATACTCTGCATGTTTTGTTCCGATTCACTGTTAGTCGGTCGTTAAAAACGAATCAACGAGCAATCAATTTTGCGGACTATTTATACATATGTATTTGTACTCTATGATTGAATCGCTTTTCGATTACCTACGAACTTATACGTTTCAGTTTCGTTCAATCTATGCTCGGCAGACTGGAAAGGTCTCACAAAGGTAAAGGTTTAGTCTTTGGTTCTCACTTGCTGGACCGGAGGTAATTTTCTCCATCTATATAGCAATATTGGAAAATATTCGTTGATGCGTGTTTGTTTCTGATTGTTACGACGTACAAGTGAATGTTCAAAACTCTTGTCCAAAATTAATTTCTTGATATATCTCATTTTGAAAAAATTGTAGTTATATTTGCCGATTTATTACGTGAAAAAAAATCTCATGACGAAACCCTAACGTCTGAGGAATAAAACATTTCGAGGAATTGTGCAATCAAAATATTCTGGAACATCGTGGCAGACTTGCTCCGTAACCTTCTCAGAAATAATCATTTCTTATGTTTACACGAACACTACACATTAAAAAAATTAGTTTTGACGGATTTTACAGCGTATATTAACTTATGTTTCCGACGGTTCGAGTTCGACTTTACATACCCATGGTCACGGAGGGAATGAGATGTTCTACGGCCCAATGTTAGCCACGGCTACCTTACCTAGATTAAAATTATTAACTTTTGGTCCAAATTACGCAGAATGAGTTTACAATATCTTGAAGTCTTGCAGTTCTTTGCATGGATTGGTATTTAATTCTCAGAATTTTTCACGTACAACATTTATAGCCTGTAACTTTACTTTTCATCGTTATCATTACAATTATCAAAAGTCCACTGCTGAACATAGGCCTCCCCCATAGGTTGCCTGATTGGGGGGGATATTTGCCATAATTGCCACGCTTTACAGGCGGGTACAGAAAGACGCTGCGGCCTATATCCAGGTTTGTTTCTGTTTGTTTATCTGTAGCTTCTTACGCCACCTACCGCTAACTTTACTTTGACTAATATTTCATTAATCCTTAATTATTAATTATTGTTAAAATTAAGCAGCCAAACCGCAAAATCTTAAAAGTCCGTTATATGATAAAGTAAGTTTAACAATTTTAGTGGTACCGAAAAACTCAAATGCATTGTCATAGTGCTCTAGTATTCAGTATTATCGAAGACATCGTAATCACCACCATCGTTGCAATACATGACAAGTGCACTGTTGAACCTCCTCCATAGACCTATCTAAGTCGCTTGTCTCAGTTCTAGACATCTATCGACACTCTACCTGTTTCATCAGATTGTCACTACGTCTGATGGTAAACCTCCAAACAATGCACTCCTTGAGACCTACCATCACAAACCGTTATTTCGAGCCCAATCCAAAAATATTTTAGCTATTTTTGGCCCATTTCAAGCCCAGTAATCAATAAATGGCGTATATTTTAAAACCAAAGCCACCTCTATATTGTTTACTATAATATGAACCAACATTGGGAAATAATCTAATATTATAAAAGCGCGCATATTGGATTCCAAAATGCTAATTACTGCAAATGTTGGCACCTTTGTACAAACCTTGACGACGTAAGCGCCAACGGGAAGCCAACATAATAAAAATAATCGCTAAGACGCTTGCAGTACTAATACTAAGTATCGTTTAATAAATCTCAGCCTAGACGTTATTTTGCTGTGACTCATAGTACTAACAGATAAAACGAAATTATAAGAATTGGTTGCATGATAGCTGAGTTCTAAAAACATCTTAATCAAATATTTTCATTTATTCACCAGGTACTTTTCATCATTCAGTGGGATTGGGATTGTTGGAAGGCCTCCGCCAACGATATGGAGATTTAGTGCGACTAGCCAAAGCGTCTCGGAGCCGCCCTGTCCTCTATGTGTTTGACCCTGAAATGATGAAAGAAGTAAGTAGTATATTACTAAAATAACGATGGCTCAAATACAGATCATTCCGCATTTAGTTTCATGTTAACAAAACATTTGATGTCCACAATTAATCAAACTTCTCATAGCTTATTCAGCCTAGAGTCTCGGCTCTCAGATAAGGCCCTAGATTAATATCCTTTTTATTTTACTCTAATAATGTCTTAGCTGTAACGTTTTTTAATAAAGAAAGCCTTTGGGTTATAAGACAAACACTTACCTAGCGCAAGATTTATAAAATAGATATTGTTATGAGAACTAAAAACGCAGTGTAAATAAAAATAATAATAATGTTCTCCAGACCTAATTTCGGTCACGGCGACCGGCCTCAACGGAGATTAACTGTGCAGGACAGGATTAAAGTACCCAAGTGTATGCGCAAGCATGGGTGCACTCGCTATTCCCCCACTCTCATAGTCTGATGGGACGGTAAATTACACGACCGGAGAGAGATTAGGCGCAGGACCAACGGCTTTACGTGCTTCGCAAGGCACGGGGGTGAGACACCGTCAACTTCCTGATTATGGGCAGCTACTGAGAATTTCTTGATAGAAAAGCTCAGTAACTGATTTTTGGTCTGACCCGGGAATCGAACCCGGGACCTCATGATCAGCAGTCGCACTACTACAACCATTACACCAACGAGACAGTCAACGGCAAGTCAAGTAAGTAAAAATATATAATTCAATTGCTATACTAGGAAACCATGGAGTGGCGGTGTAAGAGAATTCATCACGCCATTAGGTCCGTGGATGTAGAAAGAAGTGACTATTTTTATAGTTTCAGGGTGAAAAATGAGCACACATTCCACCTGATAGCAAGCAGATGATGTGGTCCATAGACGTCGACATTCATCTTCGATTGAGAATCAAAATGCAGATGCCATGTCATCCCTGGGGACTAAGATACATCGTTTCCAATAAAAACGGTCTCCGTTACTTACACTCACCAATCGAAACACAGCAGCAATAGTATGTTATTTTACGCTGGTATTCTGTGAAAGCGTGGTCCTTCCTCCCTCAGTCGAGCCGACCCAATCGTACTACAATCATGGTTTAGCTAACGCGTCGCTCTTCCATGTGTAAATTAAAGATGGAAAATTGCAGAAAAATATTTTTCTACAGATATTGCCAGGCGCAATATATCCAGTCCAGCAACAAGAAACAGCGTAAAAAAAGTTAGACTGTCTCTTACTGTCTCTTACTAACGTCTTTAATCCGTTTTAATTGTGTTTATTAATTTAAAATTAAAAAAAATTGTACAACCGAATTCTATATATATTATTAAGAATAACTCGAAAACTATTGGTCAAACCTAGATCAAATTTATATGGGACCACATGTGAAGCACCAGCTTTCAAATAAAGAAAGAATCATCGAAATCGGTCTACCCACAAAAAAGTTTTGACGTAACACACATAAAAAAAACATATAATCGAATTGAGTACCTCCTTCTGTTTGAAGTCAGTAGAAAAAAAATACTTACGGTGCGAACGCTGGTCATTGGCACAATTATTGATAAATACCTAACTAACAAAACAAATGATTATGTACATTTTATCGCTATGTCGTGACTTTATAAAATTGACTCGTGATTTGCATTTCAATCAATGTTATGTGCTGTATAATATTGTTATATAGGCTGTAAATATATGAAAAAAAGAATTAACCTAAAACCTTTTTCCCCTTATAAGCTCTTCTCCAAACAGAGAGAGTATTATGAATCACAAATACGACGAAATACAGAATAGGAGCGACGTTTACTCCGTACAAACGTATTCCTCTTTTCCCCTGGTTAAGGACACTAGAGCAAATATTTCTTACAAAAAACCCCGCTGTCGTATCTCCTCATTTTTTTTTATAGGAGATGGGGCAAACGAGCATGCGGCTTACCTGATGGTAAGTGACTACCGCCGCCCATGAACAACTGCAACACCAGGGGAACCAAGGGAATTGCAGATGCGTTGCCGGCCTTTTAAAAAGGAGTAGACTTTTTTCTTGAAGGTCCCTAAATCGTATCGGTCCGGAAAAATCGCTGATGGTAATCGATTCCACAAGGAAGTTGTGCGAGGAAGAAAATATCTTCTAAATCGCACAGTGGTGGACCGCCAATCATCCAGATGGTGGTGGATGGTATCGGGAGTTCTGCCACGATGTGTGTCCCCGTGGTAAATGCGGAAGAAAATGCAATTTCGGAGCACTCTCCTTGTTGCCTTACCTAGCATTGAAACCCTCAGCGTCAACATATCGAATGACGAATAGTGCCATGGTCACTTGGAAAGGATGTCTAAATTTGCCTCTAAAATGCTTGACGTGCTTAATAGAGCGGGACAATATTTCATCCTGGTATACCACTTGCAACTTTACAAGGCGCAAGATTGGAATATTGTTCTCATCTTTGGATTCAAAGTGTTATTCCTGTGTACGTCCAACCTAAAAATTCTATGAACACGTTGTTGTATACCGTAATTGAAAAATTAATTAGTCCTAGTAACTCTGCACAATCTATATGAGAATGCACAATTTTCTGCAAAAAAAACTTGGTCGCCAAAATTTAAATGATAATGATGATGACTCTGCACAATCTATATGAGAATGCACAATTTTCTGCAAAAAAAACTTGGTCGCCAAAATTTAAATTAAACCTTACTTCAAACTGGGACACATAGGGCAGTCGAATATTCACTACTGCTTATGCGACAGGAATAAGTATAAGGTACCAACCCAGACGGGATCCTAACGAGAAATGAAGCCCTGGTTTAAGACATTGTGTGGATTGTGGTGGTACATACCCTGACTTCATTTGTTCTAAATAAAAAGAGCCTTAGCACCTAATTAATGGATTTACATGCATTGCCGCGTAGTGGCCCATATTATTCCGTAGGTATCGTAAAATATGACAGAGGAAACTGAAAAGATGTGTGACAGCATCTTTCTGCAATAAAATCCATAACAATAAAAAACTGCGGTTATCAACCAGAAAGCGTGACACCTATGGTAATATTCACCTTCAATTTATGGGGCAGCGCTTTAGTTCATGAATAAGGAATAAATGCATTACATTTGGCCGGACATATACCATTTGCTTAGTTTTATTGTAATTATAGTTTATCTACGCGTTATCACATTGACGTAGCACAGGTCATGTTTTCGCTTGTTTTCGTTGTCATCTATTATATGTCAGTTATCTTGTGTGTTATTTTGACATAGTATGCGATTTGTTATCTGTGCACTTCCACTTTATATGACAAAGATAAATAAATCAGTTATATTGTAAATAGGTTCGATACATCCATTACATTTTTTACTCTCTTTTTCCTAAGCGTGGGTGGTCAGTCTGCCCCGCGTATTCTGGGGGGGGGGGGGGGGGGGGGGGGGCGAAAAGCCCCTCTATACTAACACTGCACGGAGCAAACAGATAAAACCATGGCAACTCCTGCTACGCTATCCGTGGATTTCTGCAACATCAGAGGACGTCACTCGAACCTTAACGCCGTCCACTACCATCTAAAAACGGCGAAGCCGGACTTGCTCTTCTTGACCTAGACACAGGTGTCCTCTCGGGCTGATACTTTGTACTTGTTCTACCCGGGGTACAAATTAGAACACTTCTTTGTGCCCCGGGCTGGAGTTTGAGTATACGTCAGAGAGGATATCTGTTCTCGACGCCTCGGCAGTCATGAAGGTACGGACCTGTCCATCCTTTGGCTGCGCGTAGATAGCGACGACCATCCCCGCGTCTACGGGTGCCTGTATAGGTCCCATAGCGGTAATGCCAATACAGACAAACTCATCGACCACGTCCAAACAAATCCGGTTACAGATTTCTTGCTACAACAAATCCCATCCGTAGAGATCGTGATACTTGGCGATTTTAACACCCACCACGCCGAATGGCTCGGTTCACGTTTAGCCGATCATATAGGGAGATCTGTTTATGACTTTTCCTTGGCATATGGTCTGACACAACTGGTTACTTAGCTTACGCGAATTCCAGATCTGGAGGATCATACACCTTCCCTGTTGGACCTTCTGCTGACCTCTCATCCGGATGGATATCAGATTTCCGTCGATTCTTCGGACTACTGTCTGATCCGGAGTGTGGTGCCACTAACGCTCCCCTCGAGGTTGCGTTCTGTAGGCTGCCGCCGTGTTTGGCATTACCGTTAATACTGTTCCCATCTCTGGGCTGGGGCTCCCCAGTGCCAGCTCCTTCCACTTGACCGCATCCAGCGCAGAGCGGTTCGAATCACCGACGACCGGGTCCTTTCCGATCGGCTCGATTCACTGGCGCTGCGAAGAGATGTTGTATCTCTTTGCGTATTTTATCGCATCTACCACGGGGCGTGCTCTGAGGAATTGTTCGGACTAATTCCAACCGCTCAATTTCACCATCGCACATCGCGAGAAAACTTGCGATACCATATATACCATCAGGATGATTAGCGGTCCACAACTATGCGATTTAGATGAAGTTTTCTTTCTCGCACAACTTCCTTGTGAAATCGATTACCACCAGCGATTTTTCCGAACCGATACGACTTATGGACCTTCAAGAAAACAACCTAACATTTTTAAATGATACGGTAGTTTGTAAATATTACCACAGAATAAATAATAGTAAAAGATATTACGTAGTCATTCTTCCAGTCAGTGTTTAAAGCCGAAGCCGGCGTACCGAAGCAGTTAAGAGCGCACCGTAAATTTCACAGTATGCGAAGATTGGAAGATTGGGGGACGGATTCGATTCTCGCCCCCGGTGATAAAATTGTTAATTGCTATTTTAAAGAAATAAAAAAAACTTTGGGTACATGTGAAATCCACCGATACGCACTAAAACATCACGGATGGTCTACATGCTCCGAATCTGAACATAAAATTAACATTTTCAATAAAGTACATAGGGCACACTAAACGTTCTACACTCACACATTTTTGAATTTCGAATGTTATATTTATTGAAACATAAGAAACTCATATGT